AACTTGAGATGTGCACATCCCATAGAGGAACACCTGTTGTAAGATTGTTCTATGCTATGCTAATGAGTTTGAATTATAATTAGTTACAGTTTTAAACAGGATTAGATTTGCTCTTTTTAAGTTAGTAATTTTGGTAGTGATTTGGAAGAAGCACCATGAAGAAAAGAGATTGCTTACTTTTTAAGTCAGAGATTGTATAGCTTTTTATTCTTGTTGTTATACTGTTTCACATGCACAGAACACTTCCATCATCCATCCGTACAAGTGTTAGTTGTTTTCTATGTGCTAGGCACTGGGGATGCATTAGAGAACAATATATTCGGGGTGTTTGTTCTCATGGAGCTTACAGTGTACTGTGGGCCGTTACAAAGCAAATAAATTCAGAAGGTTATACTTTGAAATCTGTTTGCAGATCTGGCCCTTGTAGCCCTGGTGGCTTTGTATCACTTTGAAATAAAATGTAAGACCTTTTATATGGCATGTGAAACTGCCATCAGGCCCTTGCCTGCTTTTCTAGGTTCATTTCTCTTCCCTCCTTTCTTCCATTTATTTTCAGATAATACTGAATTGCTTATGAGTCTGTATACCTATTCTTTCTTACTTGCCTTTTGTTCCCTGCAATGCTGTCCTGCTACCTGAGATGCTCTTGCTTACTTACCTGTGTTTGGTTCTTTAAAAACAGCAAATAGATCACTTCCTCAAAGGGGCATCCCTAACCCTGTCCTCCATTCTAAGCTGAGTTAGATAAACCTCCCCAGAGTACTCTGTAGTACCCTGTCCTCACTCTTATCACTAGACTTTGCTATTATCTTAAAATTGCCTGTGTCTGAATCTTCCTTAGAGCTCCTTTACGGCAAGACATTTTTTCTTACCTCTTAGAACAGTACTTAGCATATGTTTGTTATGCCATATATTTATGTTGAAGAAACGAGGTACCAACTTGTTAGCAGTCCATTGTCTTATTAGAGATGATAAGCATCCAAGGCAGTGTCAATGAAGATGGAGGAAAGCAGGTAATTGCAACAAATATTTGTAAAGTGGAGTCAAAATTTAGTAGCAGATTTGAGTAAGAAAACTAACTGCTAGTTATGCCATTACCTCATGGAGCAATTTCAAGCGAAGAAAGCAGGTGAGTAGCTATGATAAACTCATTTGGGGCATGCTAGTTTTAAAAAACAAATAGTTAATAATACTGCACTGTTTGCTTAAAATTTGATAAGAGCAGGTGTTGAGCATTTTCACCCCCTGCACACAAATTGTGATTGGATATGTTAGTTTCGGTTAGTTATAAATATATCAAATCATCACATTGTTCTCCTTGAATATTTAGAATTTTCATTTGTCAGTCAGGTACTTTAAAAGGAGACTGTCATAAAAGAAAGAAATAATTGTTAAAATATGGATACAGAGCTTGTGAGAAGCCAGACAAAACCATAGATTTGAACTTACCTACCTGTAAATGGTTTGCAACTATTTTTGTAGATTTTTCATCCAAGAAAAATGAATGTGAAGCATTTTGAAACTGATTACGTGAATGATGGCATTTGAATTTATGCATTTGAGAAAGCTCATAAGGCATATTAAATAGGGAGAATTACTTTGTTTCCAACAGTGATTGTGAATTGCCTCATTTCCTTAATTAATTTTTTCTTATTAATCGTTTCACCTGTGTTTTCTGTTTCTATACTGTATAATTAGATGGCATTTTAATTTTGAACATGAACGGGATTGTATACCCATTAATAATGTTCTTTTTCTCATTTGGACCAAATTATAGATACTGTGTTTTTATCTTGCTGAGTGTTTTCTTCCTTACTGTCATTTTGCTCCTTATGCTCTCTTATGGTTAAACCAAGAAGTGAACAACTATGGTGATTGTTGATTTAGAAAGCTTAGCCCTATAATTTTCTGTTTGGCTTCTTATGATCTGATTTGGTCATTGTGTCCCTGTACCTGGGAACTCTATTGTGTACCTCCTCAGTTTACTATTTATGAGCTCAGCAAGACCTGCAACTAAATCCTAAATGCTGTTAATCTTTAATGGCTTCCTTAGGTTTAAGTGGAAGAAGTGGGCAGGAAGCTATTTTAATGCCACTGGCAGCACTGTCTCATTTTGCTTTTTTCCATTACTTGAATGTCATATAATTTTTTATATTAATTTTATAATACAAAGATGAAGACTAGGTCCCAAATCAATATTCCTTTCTTTATTGTTCTCCTAATTAGGCTGAATATATAACAGTAAGTCAAGTATCTGAGGGGAAAACAAATCTTACCACTTGCTTAAACATGCCTTGCTTTGAACACAGTTTTACTTAGGCATAAAGTTTCAGTACTTCACAGTAAGCATGAGAATAATAGGTGAGTGGTGTCATTGTCCTCTGCCAGACTGAGATTGGGCATATATGACCATCACCTCAATTCTGCAGAAGTAGATATTTTCTGTCTCTCTGGAGCTCTTTACTTTTCTCCACTTAGCACAACATAAAGATGCAATGGTAGCAGTGGCACACTTGACTGTGATTCTTTCCTGGGATTTGGGAGCTTATCAGACTCTCCAGGGGTACTTATAATTTGGAAAAAGTCCCCCAGGTGTGATTCTGATTTGCTTCCTTCTCCTCCTCCTCCTTTGAGAATCACTGTTTCATCTGAAGCTTCATCATAAAAACACATTTATTAGTATCTTGTCCTTGCATAGTTGAGCTCCCTAATCCACACATCTCCATACCTCCTCTTTCAATGATGTCCATTAACATTTTCTAATATTACAACTTTGAAACCAGTGTCTGCTTATCACCAAAGGTGTACGTATCACCATAAAGGGCCTATTAGTGTATGGAAGCCTGCAAAGCAAGGAGGTCTCCATAAGCTTGAGAGCCACGTTTAATTGTTAGATTTATTTAAATTGGAGCCCACTGCAAAGACTTACACTCAAGTCTAGGATTTATACTATAACCACTCCCCTCTCAGATGTATTCCAATATTTATTTTATGGTGAAAATTTTCAAACCTATGCCAAAGTTGAATTTAAAGTGAATGCCTATGTCTACCACTGAGGTTCTATAATTATCATTTTAATATACTTGCTTAATCTCATAGCTACCCAAATATCCATCCCCTGATCCATCTATTAGTTCATCTTTTTATGCTTTTCACAGGAAATTGCAAATATCAGTAAAAATTTCCCTAAACACTTTAGTATGGTTAGCATATTGAAATTGAATTCATTATTTTCTAGTGTTTTTCTTTTTATGTAAAATTTACAGTACATTTTCCAAATCTTAACTGCTCATTAGACGAGTTTAAGAAATGATATATCTGTATAACCAAATTCCCTATCCAGATATGGAACATTTTGCATGCCCTTTTTCTGCACACATTTTCCTCTTGAGTTCTATAGTTTCTGAGTCAAAGATAAGAAGAAGGCTTGTCAGTGCTTACAGGACAAATAGAGATCAATGTGTAGTGAAAGATCAACAGATTTCTCTTCTCCATTGCCTGATGTACTTCATCAACTTGTTTATGCATGTTTCAAAACAATTATTTTGGAAAATACATAGGTATAAATTCTTTGTATCAATTTAGTGAAGTATTTCATAAGGCAAGAGCTTTAGTTTAATGAAATGTGAGAAAATAAATACCCACCAAAGTGGGAGAAGGAAAAGAAAGTGGAGATGAGATGGGAAAAAATCAATTAAGTATAAATATAATACATGAGATATTATATTAAAATGTGCTTAATCCATTAAAATGTAATTATGTACCTATTACATCAATAGATACGCTGACAACTGTGATATGCCATTTATTCAAGAATATCAGCAAAGAATAATCTGCCTTTAGGAAATACAAATCAAATTTCTCTCACTGTTGGTCTTGAGTGTTAGTCATTTCACTTTTAACACCTTTATGCCTTTGAAATATCACTTACTTGGTTTATTCTAGAGCCATTGAGCATATTTTAATTTATACTAGTATATTGTAAGTGGTGTATGAGTTTGAAATCATTTGCTTGCATTTTATGAGAAACAATGTATATGTATGTTTCTAATAAGATAATTCTGGTCCCAGAAGGAGAAGCTGTGACAAAGTAAATTGATATTTCCATAATAAAAAGATAGAGCAAACATGCCGTAATTTGCATATAGTTCTTGAAATATTGCTTACTGGCTTTGTCAGTGCTGGTAAGTCCATTTCAAGGATGTCGCCCTTAGTCCATTAGTTTGGATAATGAGCCCTATAAAGTACATTTATAACTTGTGGCAATGCAAGGAGATGGATTCTAATTTTCATCCTTTTATCTAGACACATTGAAAGAAGGTCAATGGAGGGTTCTGTATGATTCATTGTCCCAACACATATCAGATGACAAAGACCTGATAATGTCTGTGCATAAGCGTTTTCCTTATTTGGAACCAGCACTTGAAAGAAATCTTCCTGTGATCATCCTTTGAAGTAAAGTGGAAACAGATATTAAAAAAAGCTCTATCCCTTTTTTTCTGTTTGAAACATTATCAAATGTGTGACCAGATAGCTATTCTTGAACAAAAGAGAAAGCAACACTTAAGAGAAAAATAAAAAGCCTTTAGTGCCTTTTACAGGCTGTGAATGATATAACAAGATATTCAATCAACTTTTCTCTCCCTCTTTCCTTAGAACTATTAAGGGAAAAAATAAAGAAAGCCTACTTTTTAAACAAAGGAAAAGTGTCTGTTTTCCTAAACATGAAGGAACCTTATAATTACAGTATAATATTTGCCCTAACATTACACTTACTTATTAATGGCAATCAAAGTAAATATTTCAGCTGTATTCCACATTCATTTTATAGTTTAAAAAACATCCAGTATAGCAACAATAATATACAGTAATTCAGTATCAGTTTTGTTTCAGAAAATTATAAGCAATTTTTTAATCTTCACAAGGTTTTAAATTCAAAATCAGTGACTGATTATGTTCATTTTTCAGTCATTAATGTGAACTTTCTTGCTATGCTTATCTTTTTATAGATGTAAAGCGGTAATAGATCAGTTTGGTCAGAGAATAATCTCTAAGCATTTCCTTGTGGAGGACAGTTACTTTTCTGAGAACATGTGCTCCTGTGTGCAATACAGGTAAAGAACCCTTCCATGCACTAGTCAATGGACGGTGAAACTTAGGGCTGTGCGATTATATTGATATTTCTGTATGATTCTGTTCAAGTAACATGCAAAGGTACACCTAACCAAAGATATAACCAGTATCTTACCATTCTTCTCTTATGGTGTGATTTTGGGGCAGCTTAGCATAATTTCAACTCCTTTCCTTCAGCTGGGTATTGTCTGGGGGGTCACACTTCCTTCTTTCATGAGCCAAGAAAGATTAAAGCAGAACTTGACTTAGTTTGGGGAGGTGACACTTTTATCCTGACTTTAACATCCCTTCTGGTGATTCTATAATTTATAAATGAAATTTATCCATGGACTCTGATTCACTGCTTTACTCTTATTCATCACAGGCAGATCTCCAGGGCAGTCCTGATTACAGATAGATCTGTTCTAAAAACAGATTCAGATCAACAGGTAAATGCAGTCCTATATTTTCTGGAATAAAAGTTTTATATGTTAAAAAGGAAAACATAATGTTTTGGCATACTTGATGAACTGATTACTACAGTCAACCTAATTAAGATAAGTATTTCTTCATATAGTTAAACTTTTTTGTAGTGAGAACACAAAAGTATATAATTTGAAGAATGAGACTAGATTATACTAAATCCTTATTTTGGTAACTGTTTCTTTCTTTTTTTTAACTTTGTTTTATTTTTAATCAAGCAGTAATCTGAAAAAATGTTGCTGTGACACTTTTTGTAAATTATCTCTGTAAATAACACAGCAGTATGTTTACTTCACCAGTGTAACAGCGATCATTATTTTTTACATTGTAAAATGTTTATAATGAATTTGGTAACTGTTTCTATGAAATTGAAAGTGTATTGTTATGCGAAGGGAAAAAAAAGAATCCCCAGATAAATGCATTTTAAAATATTAGAGAAAAAAGGCTTTATAGTAGGCAACCTATAGCAACCATGGAAAGTCCAACATCCGGCCTCTTGTGAGTTAATTTCAACACATAGTCATATATTTCCTCACGACAATTGCTCAAATAATTTTGCTACCTTCTTCCTTCCCCCATTTCCACAGGAATGTCTGTGTGCCTCTCAGGTTTTGTCAGCCTGATCATTTAAATCCCAGGGCATTACCCACTTCTCCTTCTGACCATATTTTATAGTGATATAAGATTGGATTACTCAATAGGTGCGACGGTCATATATTCTGCTACTAAAAATGGGCTTCTAAAAGTCCTCTAATTTTGAAGTTGCCCATTATATAAAACAAATATGTGACTAGATAAAGTCATTTAATGGTCCCAATTTTTATTTTTAATAAATGAAAATTGTATAAAAAGAGACACCAATTATGACAGTTATACATAAACATGAATACTACTTTTATTGAGTCATTAGAGTCATTGGGCAAACAACTGCCTATTACCCACCAACCAGTGTTCTGGCTTCAAAGATGATTGTGATAACAATGATGGCATCTCTGTCTTCAAATAGTATGCAGTCTGGAGGACACAGTTACAGACAAATATATAACAAGTACTGTTCTGTGTGACCAGTATAAGCAGGGATATAGCTTAAGGAAATGGTACAGCAGCTGTTGTGTCACTTATTAGATTGGTTGGTCGACTTGTCTGTCTCCCCTTACAACATAGGCTTTGTGAGTGGGTCAAACAGTGATAGGGAGTCAGAACAGTAAATAGAGAAAATATACAAAACTCTGAAGAAGCTAAGCTATGAAGATTAAGAGAAAGGAATTGGTTCCTGAAGAGACAGATATAGGAGTGAAGAAGGCTTTTGTTTACTTTACAAGATTATATTATGTTTCACCTGATATAATGGAGCCAGAAGAGAAGTTGAAGATACTGAGGAAAACAGGAGATTTATTGACTATGCAAATATCAGGAAGGATGAAATTCAGAGAATAAGCAAGAGCATTGCCCTTAGAGAGAGTGTTAGACATGTTGAAACAATAGAGTAAATGCAGGAGTATTTCTGGATTTGGTACTTCCTGTCTGATGGATTCCATTCTTTAAATTACAAGGTGAAGTCATCTCCTGCAGTTGGGTGTGTACAAGTGGGTCAAAGATAAAGGAAGGGATACAATAATCACTGCAGAGAGTTGGGAGTTGAATAGTGACCTATGTTGTGTCATATTGCTTAGCAGTGTTAGTCGTTCAATCAAGTCTGAAGATCATGGACTTAAAATGCTACAAATTAATTCTGATTTTTCCGTCTCTTTTATTTTTTCACCTTCACCCACTCTGATAATAGATGTGTACATCCTCATCCCTTCCAGTTCTACCTAGTTTATCATCTGCCTTGTAACCTCTTCCCATTCCTCTGCCCTAGATCCCATGGTAGATCTTCTGAACTGCCCTTTCTCCAACACCTTCAATTCCCACATTGCCATGTTCTTACTTTATACACATTGAGGAAAATCTCTTCTTTGGGTCAGGCTATGGTCTGTATCCATATCACTCATGGCCATTTGAGAAGACCACACGACTTGAAACACTGGCCCTGGCCTATCACAACGTTTTGGCTGACAGCCTCATTCAGCTGGATCCTCAGCAACTACCACCAGTCACCTTTTCCACTGGCCTCCAATGACCCCCCTGTCTTGCTTTCCCCCAAGTGACTATTCTTCACTAGCCACTCACCGTGCACAGTGGCTCTTGATTTTCAGCCCTACTTCTTACAATATGTGTACACCAGCTCAGGGATGAATAAGAGGACTCTTTCCCTTGTCCAAAGCCAATCTCTGTCTCAAGTGCCTTTCACAAACACCATGCATTTTATTGCCTGGTCTCTGTCATACCCTCAGACTCGCTCCCCACTACTGGCATGTTCCTATATTTTCTGTTCTAAAAGTTAAAAAGAAACATAAAATAAAAACCTGCTCCTTTGACTTTGCCTCCATCTCTAACTAGTCTTAATCTCTCCCCTCCTCTTACCAACATTTTCAAGACACTACTTTCTGCCTTACCTCCCAATCATTTCTAAACCATACAATCCTTAAATTTCTACCACCATTTATCTTGCGAAATTCGTTAGTAATTTCATACTAGTCAGGATCAGGAAACTTTTTTTAGTTCTTCCTACTAGGACTTTCTTAGTACCTTTGACAATGTTATTATTCCTTTTCTTTTGAAACTCTGTACTCGTTTGGCTTCTCTGACAATTTGCTCTCCTGGGTCACCTAACGACTCTGGGTATCCTTCTCTGCTTTCTTTGTGGGTTTTTCTTGCTCTGCCCTGTCCTTAATTTGGGGGCTCCTCAGTACTTTCACTTTCAGCCCACAATATTTTCTTTCTCTGTGCACACGCAATAGATAACTCCATGTATTTTTGTAGTTTCAACTCTGTATACATGTTGGGGACAGTCATTTTATGTCTCCCAGAAATATCTGGCCAATATACCAACTTCCTACTGTATGTCTGTCAAGGGCTATACATATAAAACTGAATTCATTATCTTTCTTCCCAAAACTGTTCCTTATTCAGTGTTCTCTTCGTCCAAGAACAGTATTGATATCCTTCCAATAACATAACTCCTTCTTTTCTCTAACATCTTATCAGCCTTCAGGTCCTGTCCATACACTTCCTAAAATTGCTTCAGTCTTTCTTTCCTTTCTAATCCTTATTCTTACTGTTCCCGCTACCATTCACATCATCTCTGCCTTCTAACTGTTCACCCTACCTTTCATTTTGTGTCCTCCATATCTATCCTCAACATGGTCATCAATCACCAGTCTAAAGTGTACATTTTCCCTGCCTTTGCTTCTTATAGAGAATTTTTCTCCTCTACCATTTTGTCTTTTTGAAGCATGGACAGAACAATGAGGCTTAGAGAAAGGAAAAAATAGGTGGAAGTCCAGGTAAATTTTACTGAAGTGGTATTAGAGGTTCGAGACAGTTACTATCTCATAGTTCAGGTAAGGAACATACTCTCGTAGTAGATTACTAATTGTATCTTAATTAAAAATGTGTAGAGAATGTAGGAGGGTGAATGTGGTTGAAATATTATATACTCATGTATGTAAATGGAAAAATGAGACCTGTTGAAACTTTCAGGAATGGGGGGAAGTGGGATAAAGGAGAATGGTGGAGGAGGTGAATTTAACTATGATATATTATAAGAACTTTTGTAAATGTCACACTGTAACCCAGTACAAAAATAATAAAAAATATATGGTATTTTCAAAAATCAAAAGAAGCTGTTGCATATTCCTTAAAGGTTCTTTTCTAGTTGTGGTCATGTGTTTAGTCAGACATTTAACTATTTCACTATGCTCAATATCCTAGTAACTTCTATCTCCTTAATGCTAAAATACTTTTTTGTATCATGAGTAGCACCAAAGGGAGTTAAGAAAAACATTGAGAACTGTTTTTGGAATAGCATGAGCCACAGAAATGCATATCAAGCAGGATAGTCATGGTTATCAAGATAATTTCTATTTTTCAGATTTGTTGTAGATTTTTTCTCTGTGAGCTATCAGTATGACATTCCCAGTCAAAATCTAAGAATGGCACTTGTAAGGGAAGGTGCAAATGGGGCTTTCCTTTTTACAGGCATTTCCTATGTGAAAGGATATAATTTCCTCATATCGAAGACTAAGGTTGAGAATTAATGAAACTAGCTCTGCAGAGCAACATTCATCTGATGGTCACTTAAAGTCTTTTGAGTATAAACTATACAACATACCAATAGTGCCTAGGACAGCATACTACATGTTAGTAAACAGTAGTTAATAATAATTTTATATTTCAATTTTGATTTTTAATCTCTGATTTTATTATTGGAGTCCTTTAGTTAATATGAAATCATTTTGATATGTATTTACTTTGTATATTTTGATATCTATGGAATTGGTAACATCTTTAATTTTAATGCTCTGTAATTGCGATTTTTAGTCGTGTGTAATCAAACTTGAAATAAAACGGTCTGATTATCAAGCACAAAAATGCATGTTTCAGAAGTAACAATTGTATCCTTAAAAATAGTCAGTAAGCCGGGCTCTGGTGGCTCACACCTGTAATCCTAGCTACTCAAAGCAGAGATCAGAAGGATCATGGTTCAAAGACAGCCCAAGCAAGATCCTATCTCAAAAATACCTAACACAAAAAGGGCTGGTGGAGTGGCTCAAGGTGTAGGCCCTGAGTTCAAGCACCACTACCACAAAAAAAAGTCAGTAAAATATGTAGTCAATGTTAAATATTTGAAGTATTTATTCTCAGTGAAAATGGTACAAACATGTAATATACAGAAGAAATAATGCAGAAATTGAATATCAAGACATATGTACACGTTTCAAATTCTATTCCAAAATTAAATGCTTACAAGCCAGTTTTTTTTTTTCAAATACCAAGGGAAGTTTGGATGTTAGGAAGTTAACCAGCTAATGATAGAAGAATGAAAATGAATCCTAACAATTATGTATGATACTGTGTTTCTGCTTCTTAGATTTCCATTTTGACAATACCAGCAGAAGAAGCAGGAACTTTTGCTGTTCGGGTCATTGAGCTATGTTCCTCAACGATGACATGCATGAAAGGCACCTGTAAGCACAGTAGTTAGATTATTTATCTTTTGTGTTTGGGTAGAAAGTAAATTGGACAGATACTGTAGCTGAAAGGTTGTGTTTATACAGACTTTCCAGGTTTTTAAATTATGTACAGTACTTGTTCATATAATATTTGGCAAACAAGTTCCTTTGAATCTCCTTTTAAATTCTTATTTATTGAGTTATCAATTTAATTTATTTTAAATGGTACATAAAAAACAAAATATATGTATTCATTGGATAACATAAGATGTTCTGATACATGAATACATTGTATAATGTTTAAATCAGGTTATTTATATCCTCAAATGTTTGCCATTTCTTTACATGAAAAGTTTCAAAATCATTTCTTTTAGCTCTTTGAGATGCACAGTACATTATTGTTATCTATCATCACCCTACTGTACAGTAACACACCAGCTTTTGGTAACCACCATTCTACTCTTCTATCAGATTAACTTTTTTCTAAATTCCACCTATAAACTAGTACAGTGCTTTCTTTCTGGCCCTGGCCTATTTTACTTAACAAAATGGTCTTCTGGAATGTTGAAAATTCCAGAATTTTATTATTTTATGGTGAATAGTATTCCATGTGTCTATGTACCATACTTTTTAAAATCCATTCATCAGTTAATGGATACATACATCATTTCTTGGCTATGATGAATAGTGCTGCAACGAATAGGGGAATGCAAATGGTTCTTTGACATACTGATTTCATTTCCCTTGAATATTTAACCAGGAGTAGTTTGCTGGGTCATGTGTTAATTCTATTGTTAATTTTTTCAGGAATCTTTATGCTTTTATCCATAATGAGTTACTAATTTACATTTTTCACCAACTGTGTTCTAAAGGTTTCTTTTCTCTCTATCTGCACAGCATTTGCCTTTTTTGCTTTTTTGATAATAACCATTTTGAATGGGGTGAGATGATACCTCATTGTTGTTTTGATTTGCTAATGATATTAAGTATTTTTCATATACTTGTTCGTCTCTTTTGAGATTTTTTTATTCAGATCATTTTCCTATTATTTAATTGGATTTTGCTAACTATTTAGTTTTTGAAGGTCTTTATATTATTCTGGGTATCAACCCCTTGTCAGATGTATTGGTTGTAAATATTTTCTGTGATTCGTTTTTTATTACTCATTTATTCATATGTGCATATATTGTTTTGTCATTTCTCCCCCACTGCCCCCTGCCCCTTCGGTCTCCCCCCCATCCCCCTCACTTCCAGGAAGAACCTGTTCTGCCTTTTTCTCCAATTTTGTTGAAGAGAAGACATAAGCAATAATAAGAAAGACATAACATTTTTGCTAGCTGAGATAAGGAGAGCTATACAGAGAGATTCCTAGCATTGCTTCCATGCATGAATGTATTACAACCCGAATTTATTCATCTCTAGCTGACCTCTTCAAACTTCCTGGTCACCTTCCCATATTGATCACTGTCATTTTAAGATTACTGTATTAGCTCCTCTGCAGTGGGGACATCAAACACTTTCAAGTTTCAGGTTTCCTACCTTTCCCTGTTCTTCCTGTATGTGTTCCCCTTATCATGTGACCCAAGTCCAACCACATTGCTGCATTTGCTAAAGATCTAAAGTCTGCATATGAGGGAGAACATACGATTTTTGGTCTTCTGAGCCTGAATGACCTCGCTCAGGATGATGTTCTCCAGTTCCATCCATTTACTTGCAAATGATAAGATTTCATTCTTCTTCGTGGCTGAGTAAAACTCCATTGTATATAAATACCATATTATCTTAATCTATTCATCAGTAGTGGGGCATCTTGATTGTTTCCATAACTTGGCTATTGTGAATAGCACTGCAGTAAACATGGGTGTGCAGGTGCCTCTGGAGTAACCTGGGTCGCTTTCCTTTGGGTATATCCTCAGGAGTGGGATTGCTGGATCATATGGCAGATCTATGTTTAGTTTTTTAAGAAGCCTCCATATTCTTTTCCAGAGTGGTTGCATTAGTTTGCATTCCCACCATCAGTGTACGAGGGTTGCTTTTTCCCCATATCCTCACCAACACCTCTTGTTGCTGGTGTTTTGGATGATTGCTGTTCTAATGGGGGTGAGGTGGAATCTTAGTGTGGTTTTGATTTCCATTTCCTTTATGGCTAGAGATGGTAAGCATTTTTTCATGTGTTTTTTTGACCATTTTAATTTCTTCTTTTGAGAAAGTTCTGTTTAGTTCACTTGCCCATTTCTATATTGGTTCATTGATTTGGGGGGGAGTTTAGTTTTTTGAATTCCCTGTATATTCTGGTTATCAGTCCTTTGTCTGATGTATAGCTGGCAAATATTTTCTCCCACTATGTGGATGGTCTCTTCAGTTTAGAGACCATTTCTTTTGTTGTGCAGAAGCTTTTTAATTTTATGTAGTCCCATTTGTCGATCCTTTCTCTTAGTTGCTGAGCTGCTTTTGTTCTATTGAAGAAGCCCTTGCCTATACCTATTAGTTCCAGAGTATTCCCTGCTCTTTCCTGTTCTAACTTCTGAGTTTCAGGTCTGATATTAAGGTCCTTTATTCATTTTGAGTTGATACTAGTACAGGGTGATAAACATGGACCTAGTTTCAGTTTTTTGCAGGCATTTAACCACTTTTCCCAGCAACATTTGTTGAAGAGTCTGTCTTTTCTCCATCATAGTTTTTGGCACCTTTGTCAATAGGTGGGCCATAGCTGTGTGGATTCATGTCTGGGTCTCTATTCTGTTTTCCACTGGTCTTATGTCTGGTTTTTTTAGCGAGTACCATGCTGCTTTTATTTGCTATTGCTTTGTAATACAGTTTGAAGTCGGGTATTGTGAATAACCTCCAGGCATTGCTCTTTTGCCTTGAGCATTGCTTTGGTATTCCATGGTCTCATTGTGTTTCCAAATGAACTTTAAGGTAGATTTTTCCAAATGCTCTGGGGTTTTGGAAAAAAAAAATTTTGAAATTGGTTGGGGGTTAAAATTTTGGGGGATTTTAATGAGAATTGCATTAAACGTGGTAGATTGCTTTTGGTAGATAGCCATTTTTACCTATGTTGTTCTACCAAATCCATGAGCCAAGGGAATCTTTCTCTCTTCTATAAGTCTTCCTTGATTCTTTCTTCTTGGTTTTGTGATTCTTGCTGTAGAGGTCAAATTTCACAATCCTTTGTTAAATTTACTCCTAGGTATTTGGATTTTTTTTTGAGGGCTATTGTAATGGAATTGTTTCCTAATATTCTTTCTCAATTTGTTCATTGTTGGTATATAGAAATGCTAATGAATTTTTGTAAAGTTGTTGTTGTATACTACGCACCACTCGCTGTTGCTTGTTTATGGTATTAGGAGTTTTTGAGAGAGATTATTTGGGTTTTAAGTTAGGAAATTAGTATGAATTCCCCAGGGATATTTGCAGTTTCTTTACTATTTGTATTCCTTTTTATTTTTTTGCCTAATTGCTCTGGCTAGGAATTCCAGGACTATGCTGAATGGGACGTGGGGAATAGGTGGGTAATCCCTTGTTCTCATTCCTGATTTTAGGGGAAACTGGTTTCAGTTTTTCCATTTAGGTGTATGATGTTGCGCTATAAGGGGATTTTTTTGATCTAGTGTTTTCATTAATATTCATCTTGAAGTTTTTCCTTCTTTCTAGTTTTCTTAGATCTTTTATCCATGAAGTGGTGTTGGTCTTAATAAGGATCTATTTGCTATTGGATGATCCAACTGAGTTATTGTCTT